CCCTGCCCCCGGCCCGCGGGACCCTGGGGGCGCCGCCCGAGCCTCGGGTGGGCCTCTGGTAGCACCCGGTCCCAGCAGGGGCTGTCGCGAGGGCTTCTCAAAATTCGGGAGAACAGAAAGCGTAATCTGCCTAACTCTCCACCTTCAACCGACGTTTTAAGTTTTGGTGCACTTGGCCCCAAGTCACATGCCTGTGTCTTCCTCGCTGTGAGGTGCACGAGCATCTTTACTGCCAAAGCGAGGCTCCCAGTGGAATTGAGGCCCAGAGAGGTTGCGTGCCTTTCTGGACAGCACACAGCAAGTCATTGTCTCGCTGGGTCCAGATCTCCTCCTTGGCTTATTCCAGTGTCCCGCCGACCCAGCTGAGCCCCTGGGCTCACCACACCCCACACTCTGCTCTCTGAGGCCCGGGTGGTGGGAGGGAAACTGTCCAGGCACATTCCTGGACAGGTAGCTTGGTTTGTACATTTAAACCACGTGGTGAAAGGAACAGGACTTGCCGTGCACAAACTTAGACGCGATGTTTTCTGCTGCCCCTCAGCTGGCCACCTAACGTGGCTGCCAGAGGAGTGGGTGATATTAGAGGCTGTTTTGTGAGCCCAGGTCGCCTGCATTCTCTCCTCCGTGAGGTGGACGCTAGTTGTGCCCTCATGAGGTGAGGAAACCTGTCCTAAATCAGCAGTGAGGGGCAGCCAGGATCCAAATGGCCTCCCTGCCTGCCATGTGTATTCAGACCCCCCAGAGCCCTGTCCTCCGTCCTGCTCTGACAGGTGCCTTTCCTCTGACCTGCAGAAGGCATCGTGACGGTCATTTGGTTTGTGGAAGGGCAGTGCCGTTTCTCTTCATTGACACCAGGTGCTTCAGAGGGCAACTCCCCCCGAGCCCAGTGCGCTGACTTCCCCCAGTCCTCGTGGCTAATTTAAAACTTGAAATCGGAGGAAATGCCCTGGTAATTGGTGCAGGCTCAGGGGCATACTACAGTCCCCGCGTGTTCATTCATAGCTGGTACACAGTGCTGCCGACCCGGCCCCTCTTTCCCTCCCAGGACCGTGTTAGTGTGATGTGTGAGCCCCCCCCACTCCCGGCTCTGCAAGGACCATGACTCGTCCAGTCCCTTGTGCCAGCGCGCAGGCTCTGAGTCTCAGGGGATGAGTTACTGTTTCCCGAGTACGAGGCTCGGGAACAGAGCTCCTGGGCACTAAGGAGGGGGGACTCGGGGCACTCTGCTGATTTCTGCCCCTGGGAGCACTGCAGGAAAAGGGACTTAGTCGATGAACACGCACTTTGCCGCCAGCACAGCTCACAGCACCACATCCCTGGGCCTCCCCTTGGTGGGGCTGGCCCGGCGTCTTTGGTTAAAAGCAACCAGCCAAGCAGCCAGCTTACACGTGTAGGCACCTCTGCTTCACAAAATTTACATCAGTCTGTGTTCCCCTAATTCTGACCTCCTCTGAGGTAAGCAGGCAGAGGTGGAAGGCATAGCTAGCTTTAACTGACGTAGAATCTTACGCTGTTTGGGCAGTTGAACTGACCCCAGAGGAAGGAAGTGCCTTCCCCAGGGTTTCAGGGAAAGCTGGGGAGGGCAGGGTGATGCTGGGGCACTGGCCACTGAGGCCAGGGTGTTAGCCCGGGCCCACAGCCTCCCCCACCCCCAGCCTCAGCCTCCTCACCCTCCACACGGCCTCCCTGTGAGTCAGAAGCCCCGGGTTCAAGTTCTGACAGTATCACCCAGGAGGTGCCTTGAAACACGCCTTCTGTGAGCCCCATTTCCCCATCTGTAAACTGAGGAGCACGTTCTTTCCCCTTATGGGCTGTGAGGGTCAAACAAGAGAGACTGTGTATTAGCAGAGCGCACCAATGTGTGTGTACTTGTTGGGTAGTCAGCAAGTGTGGCCGGTGTGAGCTCCGTGGGCAGGCCGGATGTGCGCCGCGGGGTGGTGCTTTTTCCCGGCTGCGCGGCTGCTGAGCTGGGGGGCCCTTCCTCGACCCCACACGGGGGCCTAGGTTCCTGCTTCTCTGAGCCCAGGGTCATCACTTTCCCCTCGTCCTGGCCCCAGAAAGGTGTGGCCGACTGCAGACTTGGTTTTGTCCCAAGCATAAAGTGGAGGCTCCTAGCCTGGCCATCGGGAGATGGAGTTCCTCTCCCAGCTCAGCCACCCAGTTGCTGTGTGATATTAAGTAAATCCCTTCCCCATTCTGGGCCTTGGTTTTCTCCCATGGAAAACAAGGGCCTGGATTTTTGGCTCTTTACTTTTTTAAAAATAAACAGTGTATTTCCTGGCATTCCAACGCCCAGGCCCACCAGCTGTTGACTATAAGGTCTGTAGCCGCACCCCACCACCTTCATGGTGCCTCTGGCCATTAGAATCGGCAGGCATGTGGTTCATGACGGCTGGCCCTCCCCCTCAGTGACTCTGGCCGGGCCTCAGCAGAGCCTCCCACCACCCCTGGCACCTTGGCTGGGTCCTGGCCAAAGCCAGGTCCTTCCAGGAGAGGGGCTGGGACCCAGACAAGCTCTGTGCGGCCCCCCCCAGGAGATAGGGGTGTCTGGAGGGTGAGGAGAAATGGAAGGGCACCCCGTTCTGCCCCTGGGGGAGGCTGGATGCTGAGGACCCCGACGTCACTCACTCCTCTCGTATTCTCAGGAGAAGGCCATCAGCATATGGGAGACAGAGAACTTCTTCTTTGACCTCGAGCCGCTGCCGGGGGCTGTGGAAGCTGTGAAGCAGATGGCCAACTTGGAGAGGTGGGCTCGGTCTGGAAGTGGGCGGAGGGAGAGGAGCCCCCTCACTCCCGGCCCTGACGCCCTTGGGCCGGGGGCGGCAGGGCAGGGGGTTCTCCATGTGAGTCCGGGTTCAGGGCAGGAGGGAGGGGCTGGGAAGGCTGAGTGCCCAGGGCACCCAGCCAGCAGGTGGGAGGGTGGCGGGGTTGACAGGGCGGCGCCAAGACCGTGGGGACTCAGCGACTCGACGGCCCCTCTGCCCAGGGACCTCAGTCTGATGATGCTTCTCGGGAGGCCGACTTGCCCGGGAGAACAGGAGCCAGGAAGCCCCATCCCCCGGGGCTCAGCTTGGGGAGACAGGAGATGCTGGTTCCAGGGGCAGGTGCCAGCTCGGTGAGGGTTTGGGGGCCAGCTGGTTTGTCACGGAACCACCAGTGTCCTGAGGGGACGCGGGCCTGGTGCGGCGCTCCCTGTACCCAGAGACTTGCTCTCGGGCTTCTTTGCCTCACGCCACATGAGGCCCTGACTGTCCCTCACGTAACTTGTTCTGCGTTCCTTAATGCTTCCCTTGCTGGTATATGCTCCTTTCTCAGTGTTTCCCTGTCATGCCCAGAGATGGCACCCTCAGGTCTGCTGACCTTTGGGTCCAGCCACGCAGAACTGCCATCAGTTGACGCCTGCCCCTGAGCTGTGGCCTGGCCAGGGGTGGGTCCTGTTTGGCTGCCCAGGGCGGCGGGACAGGGCAGTGTCCCTTGTATGGAGCCAGCGTGGGGTGTCCTGTGGGACAGGCTCGGAGCCTCACCCTCCTCCCTCTTCCCTCAGCACCGACGTCTTCATCTGCACAAGCCCCATCAAGATGTACAAGTACTGTCCCTTCGAGAAGGTAGGATGCCCGGCTGGGCCTCCTCGCACTTCCCCGCGTGTCCCGGGTAAGGGGTGCTGGAGGGTCCCCGTGAAGGTTGAGACCAGGAGGGGATGGGGAGGGGAAGGGGCTGCAGGCAAGGATTTGGGCACAAAAAGCCTCACAAGGGAGCTGTTGACGAAAGCACTTCTGACTGTCCCTTCTCTGCTTAAAACCTGTGTTTGGTTAAAATCTGTTTAAAACAAAGTCCAACGGAATACTTTTTTTGTTTTAATTTTTAGAGGAGGTATTGGGAATTGAGCCCAGGACCTTGCGTATGCTCAGCATACACTCTGCCCCTGAGCTGTACCCTCCTCCCTGCAGCTGAGTACATTTTACAGATCTTACGGGCTTTTTCCAGCGATTCATGGACGGGGCAGCGTCCCATCCGGCAGAGAGAGAGGAGCTCCGAGGAGCTGCACAAAGTGAAGGACTTCTCTGGGCAGGAGGGGGCGGGGACAGGAACTCACGCTCGGTGGAAGGCGGGTTGGCCGTGGCTGGGTCACCCTCCTTTAGAGGGTGCAGGGGGCTGGGGGGCAGGCGACCTCCCTAGAGCTGAGCACGTGATTCCCGCATCACTAAGATTCCATTTCTGGAAGAGGCTGAAACTGTCAGTGAAGTTTGCTGACGCAGGGCTTAGCATAAGTGGCTCCTTTTGGGGCTGTTGTCTTTTTTTTTTTTTTTTAAACAAATCTGTAGTCCAAACAGGGTCTGTTGGCTAAGGTGCTTGTCTGCAAACGCAGAAGCTGAGAACAGTGTTGGAAGGACATCGGGTGTGGCCGGGCAGCTCCGGAGGAGGGGCCTGCCCATCTCTGTCCCTGCAAAGCTCCCCTGCGCTGCCTGCTGCCCCTCTGAGCCCGTTGCGGGTGCTCGGGCCTCACACACTTGCCTGGCTGCACTGGGGTGAGGGAGGTCGGGGGACCTGGAGGGAGCAGCCAGGACCCATTTCAGCCTATGCTGTGGGGGGCGCACCCCCAGGACCGCGCCCTGCAGGGAGGGAGGGGGACACAGGTTGGTGGTGAGAGGCCTGAGCATGGCTGGAGGCCGAGCCGCTCCCTGCGCCCCGGACACGCCCAGCCCTTTGCGCACCCACCACTGCCTGAGACGTCCTCCTGCCCCAGTGGATCCGGTTCTCACGTGCCTTCCCAACAACAGCTCACTGGGGGACGGGAGGAAGGGCCAGGCATCTGTAAGGGGTTGTTTCAGCGCTCCTTTGAGCTCTGTGCCCTTTTCTCATCCCTTGAGCTTCACGGGAACAGGCTGAGTGCCTAACCGATCGACTGGGGAGCTGTGGGTCGAGTCTGGGCAGGGTTGGAGCTGGAGCAGGGACATCTGGTTTGGGCTTCATGGTTGCGGGGATGGGACGATCTCATGGTCTCCCTGAGCGTGAGTGGGCTCCCTGGCGGTGACCCCTCTGCCTGGGAAAAGCCCAGCTGTGCCCAGGCCCCAGGGCACTGTCTTCCCCTCTCTGCTCACGTTGCAGTACGCCTGGGTGGAGAAGCACTTCGGCCCTGACTTTTTGGAACAGATTGTGCTGACCAGAGACAAGACCGTGGTCTCGGCCGACCTCCTCATAGACGACCGGGTGGACATAACAGGCAAGTGGCCTGCAGCGGGGGAGGGGTGAGCATGGGGGCCAGGCCTCGTGGCCCCTGACCCAAGCAGCCCCCCTCAGGCACAAGACACGTGTTAGGTGTCCCATCCCGCTGTGAGCCTGGCACCAAGCCTCTCCCTTTTGGGGAGACAAGACTCCTCTCTGAGTCCAGTCTTGGAAGGGTACCACTGGGCAGCAGCAAGAGTGGGCGCCAGCTCTGGGGTAACACACTAGGTGACCTTGGGGAGTCTTAC